TAGATTTAGTTCTACCAAAGTCCTATATTACAACTATTGGAAAATTGATTATCACTTTAGAACCTGAAATTTAGTCAATTGAAAACTTGAATAAATTGTAAATTTAATAAATTAACTATAACATGAATAATGTTTACTAATTATCAATATTTCTGAACAGTTCAAAATTTTTGAAAAATATTTCTTTTCATTTTAGAATTTTGTTTGTTAAAAAAAAAAACAAAATTGTAAAGTTGGGATGCCATAAAACCAATTTTCGATATTTTATCAAATTACTAAAATGATATTATAAATTAAGTAAACATGTTTTTAAGTAAACTAGTAAATTTTAAGTAAAAATTAAGTAAACTAAGTAAAATGATATTATAAATTAAGTCACTGATCACTAATAAATTGATAAATTATATAATGAAATCCTTCCACATATTCTGTTTTTCAAAGTTGCATTTAAAATTTCTCGAAAAAAAAATATTCCATGGATACATTAAAACTTTATTGTTGTTTCAGTTAATTGTAATCATATATGTTTAAGAATTTTAGCATAAAATATTGAAATGCTGAATATATCAAAAGATTGGTTCATGTTAATTTCAAATTTAATCAAAATCAAGATCTATAAATTAGGACAATTTGCTGAAATCAACAATATACCACTAGTACATTTCAAGGTCTTTTAAAAAAAAAGAAAACGAAAACGAATTTAGACGAATTTTTTTTTCTTAAACATACTCTTATCCTATTTATGATTTATAAAAAAATTGAAATTATTTTTCCAGTTTTTTTTATTTTTTTCTTTTCAATTTATCCATTCACTATTACATTCCTTTTTCTTTCATTTCTTGCAAAATTTTAGCAAATAAATATTTTTATTGTTTTTTTTTTTTTTTTGCTCATTTTATTAGCAAATAAAACAAGAAAAAAAAGGAAAAAACTAAATAAAAATGGATAAATTACAGAAAGGACTAATTTAACAATTCAAATTAAATTTCCTTTTCAATTAATATTTTTTTATTAAATGAAAGTTTTTTATAAAAATTATATTAATTAAACGAGTAACGCGATATTTCAATTTTTTTTTTTTATTATTCCTAACTAATTTCCAATTTTTTTTTTATATTCCTAACTAATTTCCAATCAATTTTCGGTAGACTATTTTTTTTTTGTTAAATTATAAAAATAATAGAATTATCATTTTCTACAATAGCTAGAAAAAGCTTCCAAAATTTACTTAAATTCAATTATATGATAATTTGGATGTTTTTTTCTTTTTTGAAATTCACGATAAGTTTATTGGTGCAATATGTTAATAGCATAGAATGTTGGTGGCGTTATTTATATCAATCATTTATCAATAATAGATTAATTAATAATAGATTAGCTTCATTTTAAGTATCAAATAATCAATAATTTTTTAACTATTTGTATTTTTTATTTTCCGACTTTATTCCTTTCATTTCACACTTATTCTATTTCCTATATTTTTTATTTTTTCTTATATGCCTCTTTCTCTCTGAATGCAAATAAATGCTTAATGATAACGGGCTTATCTCGAAATGTTAGCATGTTGTAAATGAAATAAACATTTCAAATTAAAAAATACTTATTAAAAATTTCAATAACAATTTTTTTACATTTTGCTTCAACTGCATATATATATATACTTATAATGTAATTAACAGAATTTAAAAATTAAGAAAATTTTGGAAAAATATATATAATTAACGAAATTAATTAAGAGAACCTTGAAAATTTCGAGTTAATTAACGAAAATTTTGTTCTTTTTTCAATATCTTTTCTGTTGGATTTAAATGCACTTTGGAAATTGTACTTTTTTTTTTTTGATATTTTTCGTCTTTTTTTCTTCCGTTTTTCTTTTATTTCATACAAAAATGGAAAAGTATAAAATTTTCAATGCAATAAATTATAGCAATTAAAGAAATTCCAACAAAAATTTTTTAATGAAAAGGAAAGGAATACTAGAAAACGAAAAAAAAACTAAACATCAATTAGTCGAGAAAATGTTTGTCACCATAAAATCCAATTAAAATGTCTCTTGCACCAATCATTTATTCTCTTTGTCCTCTTCCTCATCAATGCCTCATTATAAATGTAATTTCATTTTATTTTTTTAAATAAATATAATTCGAATTTGAAATGAATAAATGATCGCTTCGCTATTTGACGCAAATAACCTGCGCATTTGTCCGATCACATTTTTCCACTTTATACTTTTATTATATTCTTTTTATAATTTTGTTACCGCTAATTTGGTCCGTTTTAATTACCTCATTTAATCAGATACCTTTCAATAATTTGTTCACCGAAACTGTGACAAAAATGTATTTTAAGTATTCATCATACTTTGTGAAATTGTATTGTGAATTTGTGTTAAATTTGGCATTAAAAATATTGAAATGACCAATGAAAGGATTCCAACTTTTTTTTTTTTTTAGAAAATATCTAAAACATGATTAATCTATTAAATTAGCCAAAACTATTGATGTGTTGCTGTCAAACTTTACGAGCTTGGTATCTATTCATCGTTTCATTTTGGCTTCTATTAGCAGTAATACGACAAATTTTGGATTCAATTGGACGATTGTGGATACCGATTGTTTTTAATTCATTTCAAGTAAATCTTTTCAGTGCATTTATCTGCTATGATATAAACTTTCAAAAGCTATCATTAACTTTTTAACAATAGCTAATTTATCAATTTCTTTTTATATATTGAATCTACTAGTAATTTTAAATGAACAATATTAGTATTCAAAGTGAAAATTTAGGCAAAAAAAAAAAAGATCTAGGTCACGGAAAGATGTGAAAAATTGCATTAATAATTGAAACTAAAATTTTATTTAAAAAATATGAAGAAAAAACGAACGGTGGAATTAAATCATTTGCTAATTGCGGAAAATGGTCCATTAATTTGCTTATTTACGTGATAAAAAGCAATTAATTGAGAGAAAAATTTACTTTTTTTGGAATTATTTATTAAATTTTAATTGTAATTTAATTTTAAAATCAAAATTCTTGCAATATATATATATATATATATATTTATGAAATAGTTTATAAGAAATTAGAAATTCATCAAATTAATTAGAGATGAATTAATTTTAGTTTTTATATTACTTAATTTCTTTTTTACATGCATTGTAGATGCATTTTCTCATGCATTTGAGAACGTATTGCAATTGCAATGTATATAAAATCTTTTATAAGAAATTAAAAATTTTGCTAAATTAAATTAATCAAAGGTAAAATTAATTTCAGGTTTTTTCATGTATTTGCGGGCTTATTGCAGTTATTCATTGGCAAAAACGTTTATTAGTAGTTTTCATGTTACTTAATTTCATTTCTATATTATATAATATTACACTTATCCTATGGTACAATGAATTATTTGCTATTAGCCGCGATATACCAATACTTAGTGCCGGATTTTCTTATTCTCACAGGTAAATATTTCCTATGATATATTTGTTAATTATAAAATATTTGATAAAATTTTATTCTCCCAAGAATTAATATGAATTAATCTCACTGGATAATTAATAATAATAATAATTATTAATAATAATAACAATTAGTAATAATTAGTAATACTTCAAATTATTCATAGGATAATAAAATGATTAATTTCTTTTACGAAATAATCATAAATTATCCTGGAGAATTTAAACAATTAATGCATAAGCTGTTGTAATTTCAACAATGATGCAATTATTTCAAATTAACATATAATATCTGAAAATATTATAACTTAAAAATTTAATCACAAAAATTTTATTGTTAAAAAATTCCAATATCACTGTAAATGTTATTATTGTTAATAGAAATAATTTTAAAAAAAAGAAAATTAAATGAAAATTGTTAAAATTTGAAAATTTTACGCTTTGTAAGTGTAAAATATAACAAAAGTTGTTTATTTTTTGAAAAATAAGAAAAAAGTAAGAGAAAAAACTAAAATTTAAAGCTTTCAATTTTAGTAAATTTTATTGTTTGAAATAAAATTGTAAATATAATTCGAGAAAAAAAAACAGAAAATTGAATAGAAAGTACTGATAAAATTGATAAATTCTTACATTTTATAAATGAATTTATACAAAAAAAAAGAACAAAGAAAATCAAACATTAAAATTTAAAAATTTTTTTCTTTTCTTCCTTTTTTTTTGATAATTACAATAAAATTGGAATATTTAATCTTTTCTATTTATTATTATCATTAATGTCATCTTAAGCTTATCATTTTATTTCTTTTAATTATAATCCTTAATTGATCAAATTTTTAATTTAAAAATTAAAATTTGCAATGAAATTTGCAATGTTTTTTTTATTTTTTTTCCTTAATTATTTTAATAATTTTCAGTTTTTTTCTCCGATATACGCCATCATGTAAATCATATTATAATTTGACAAATTTTCGTTGGATACAGTTATCATGCATTGTACCGTATTATTATATTGAAGGTGCTCAAGCTCTTTTTCATACCTTCATGGCAAATCTTTCCATCATTTTATCGATTATTCTTTTTCCAAAACAAAATTTCAATAAAATGTTTGTTTTAAAATTTTCATTAACAAACTAATTATATTAACAAATAATTTTGTTACATTATTCATTTGATTTAGATAGAAATTAGCATGTTTAAATTTAATAAAAAAAATTTTTTTTTTTAGAAAAAAAAGAGATAGTATTAGCTATTTCTTTTGTCAAATATGATTTTAGACTTAACAAAAATTTTTAACTTGAAATTAAATTTATGATTTTAGATTTTGATTAATTTATAATTTTGACATATTTAACCATCAAATTGATTGGTGATTGTTGATTTTAAACTTAAAAAAAAGTGATTTATGATTTTAGCTGATTAATTTATGATTCCGATATTTTGATTTAAACTGATTTATGATTTCAGACTTGAAAATTAATTTGTGATTTTAGAGTTGAAAAAGAAATTACTAATACGATTACTGATCACTTCATTAATGAAACGATGAATAGTAACAAGCAATATAAGTGAGTAAATTAATTTTAATTACTATGAAAAGTAGTAAAGCATTATTCAAATACTGGATTAACCAAGAAATATTGTAATTCAATGAGGGATAAAAAAAAAAAGTGATGTTGAACAGCGCCAAACATTTATTTGCTGGAGAAAATACTCGACAATTAATTAATAATTTTAAAAAGTTCCGCTTAAGTATGACAATTAATCAATAATTTAAAAAAAAAAACTCTGCTTAGGTATATATTAATTATGCAAATGAATTAATTAAATATGGTAATGGTTAAAAAGTAAAAATTTTTTGATGTATTACAGAATAAAACTGCGAATATTTTTATGATATTAGCAAAAGGTAATTGAAATTACTAATTATTCGTTAAGTAATTAATTGCAAGCGAATAATTTAAACTTACAATAACTAATAAATGTTGCAGTAGTCAGGGATATTCAAAAGAAGGAATTAATCAAACCGATCGAGCAATTAATGGACGATTTGCTAGACCTGATAATGGTTATAAAAAATATTTGTCGAAAAAATCAACACGAAAAGGTTACAGAGAAACAACAGTCACTCCTTATCAAAATTCGAATAATTTTCAGGTTTATCAATTTACACTTCAAATAACATATTACAATTAATCAGTAAAAAATCATTGAATATTTTTGAAAATTTAATTTTTGCATATAAATCAATTAGTATTAATCCATTCCTGCTTTTTGTTGTAGGCAAAAAATGAATTTAAAAATTTTAAATTAAGAAATTATTTCAAGCAAAGTAAAATTTCCATATGCTATCTTTTGGTTTAAAATGATTTGATGAATATTTTTCGTAATTTTTTTTTCTTTTTTTTAAATTTCAGAAACCATTTTCTATAAAACGTTCACAATCGATGACTGATTTAGCAAATGAATGTCAATTATTAGAGCACATTCATCGTCAACAATGTTATGAACCTATTAATAATGGTATTAATTTAAAATTTAATCTGTTAAATACTGATAATTTATGATGTTTCGATCATAAGTGTTTGATTAGAAAAAATTGAAATAGTTTTTTTTAAAAAAAAAAAACCCCGAATTTTGCTAGTAGTATTCCTAATAATATTTATGAATAAAATATTTCAGGTGTTACAAATACAATTCATGCATCAAGCAGAACACAAATAACGGCCGCAAAAGCAACAGGACTATTGACAAATTCAGGATATGTATGTCGTAGTGGAAGTTTAAAAAATTTTAAAATTCCAACAACCGAAGGTGTAAGACGAATTTTATCACGTGAAGAGGTTCATTTCTAGAAATCATTGGGAGAATTTTTTTTAATATATTTATTTTTTCATTCTCTTAAAATTTCATTACCAATTTTAAATTTCAATTTACAGATAAATTTGGCAGATAACTTCCGGACAAATAATGATTGCGCAAATTCGGCAAATAATAATTTAAAATCATTAGTCTCATTCGATCCAAAAAGTAACATTTTGCTCCGAATACACAATCATATTGATGATGACGATGATGTTGATGATGATGGTGATAGAAATGATAATAATATTTATCATATTGATGTTATTCAACAACATCGACAACAGCAACAACAACAACAACAACAACAACAACAACAACAACAAGGATATCCGGACAAGTAAGTACAATCTTGTAGTCAACGAAATTACCATATTTTCTTCTCTTTTATTTTCAAGAAAATTCAAACTGTCTCAAATCTTATAGAGTAATTAATTAATTTTAGTATAATTATGACAAATTTCATATATAATTGCAGCGTATTTGAAAATATTAGGAAGCAGTTTTCTTTTGGAACAATAAACATTTTTAAATGATAAAATAATTTTCTTTCCTCTTCTAATAGAATTTTTTTTAGATACCATCAGTTAAGGCAGAAATTCTGCGTCAAAATTCAGAATATTCACCAATGGCTATAAATAATTCTTTGATAAATTACCAACCAAATGATCAAATCTTTGGTTTCACTGGTATTGACAACAAAGGTTACTACGATCTTACTAGTTTTGGTCGAAATTACAATCAGAAATTATCAAATTTTCTACAACAACAACAACAACAACAACAACAACAACAACAACAACAACAACAACAACAACAACAACAACAACAACAACAACAACAACAACAACAACAACCTATTTGCTATTCTAAATATGGCGATGATATAATGGTACTTATTGTGTCATTTTACTTGTCATTTTACTAAGTTTGAACAAAAATTCTTTAAAGTTACTAATTAAAATATGGTACAAACAAATTAACAATATACATTTTGTATTTTTTATCATAACATTTGTTAAATTTTATTATCAGAATCAAATTTTATTATCATCAATTAATACTAACAATATTGCTTTCCTATTACAGTATGATGGAAGAAAACAGTGTAATGTTGTGAAACCATCTTTATCTATTGATCATCCAAAATCATCGATCATATCTGATATGCCAATTTTCAACAGTAACGATTTTCTTGTTTAAAATTTACAATGATCTCTTAATCGTTTCAATTTAATCAAATGTTTGCCATAAATTTTATTTCATTTGTTCCTATCTATCCATATGTATGCTAAATACTATTTTAATTAACAAATTTTTAAAAAAAAGATTAAATTAAAAATAAAATTTGAAATAAACTTGAAATCTAATCAATCATTTTAAGTTTATCAATTCAAAAAAAAAAAAATTCTCGAATTCGAATGAATAATTTATTTGGAGCTAATTCAGATGTGAAAAAAATATCTGAATCATTCTTAAGAATGAAATAATATTGTCTTATTGAATGTCAATAATTGGAAATTAATATTAGGAAACCAAAAACATATCCATTGATAATTTTTTCTTCTTTTTTTCACATAAAATTCTTTTTCTCTCATATTTTAATACTTAATAATCAGATAAAATATTGATATTCCATATATGCTTTCCACAAACAAAGTATAAATTTTAATCAAAAAATTTTTTACAAAAAAATTTCTTACAATTACATCATCAATATTATCTTTTTTTCTAATCATATCAATTTACAATATTTTAATTAATAATAGCAATTGTAATCCCATAATTATAATACAAATGTTTGATATTAGATTGATGCAATTTCCAGAGGCCAAAACATTTCGCATTTGCATATCTGAATAATTATTTAAATTTCATTAAAATTCCTGTTAAGATTGAATTCAAAAAAAAAAAAGAAGAAAAACAATTGAGCCAAAAAAATTATCAAGAGCTTATCGTGTTCACTTTTATAAAAACACAACGAAGATAGTTTTACAAAAAAGTGTTGCATGTCATACGATGGACATAGCCATCTTCTTCAATTAAGCCTAAAAGTCTAGACTAAGACTATAAGCTAGACTGAAAATTATAAGATTATTAGTTCATTTTATTGGATTATCATTTGATAATGTAAAAAATAAAATGAATTAACAATTTTTAATCCAGACTTTTATGTATGATTCAGCGAAATAATTTTAGGCCTGATTTAAGAAAATGGCCATTGTCAATTTCATATGATATGTAGGACTTTGCAAAATTTTTTTCCCAATTTTTTTTTCTTTCTTTTTTTTTTCTTTTTTTTTTTTTGATAGATTTGGTTTGTCTAACATATATTCAATTTTTAGCTTCATCTTTGTAGGGAATAAAATGAAAATATTTGATTAAAAAATTCAATTCAAATGACATTTTAATGAAATCAATTGGAATTTCAATTAAATTATTCATGAAAAGAAAAGAAAAAAACATATAAAAAATTCACAAATTTTTGTTGCTAAACTTCTATTAAAAATTAATTAACAAATAATATAAAGATTTTAATTAAATCAAATGAAAATATATAAAAATTCACAAATTTTGTTGCTAAGCTCCAATTAAAAATTAATTAACAAATAATATAAAGATTTTAATTAAATCAAATGATATCATCTAATCAATATTCGTCATATTTTGATATTTTTCCTTAACAAATGCTTATTTTTTTTGGCTTACCATTTGGATGTGTAACAATATGATGATTTAAAACAATCGTTTCGTTATCATTTTTATCAATTATAAACGGTTTATAATTGATTTTTGCAAGTGATTTTGTGATTAATTTCTTTTCCGTTTTTTTGCTAAATATTTCTTGAATAATTGCTGTTGTTGTTTGCAATTTTTGCTCAACTTTTTCAATTATATATGGATAGCCTAAAAAAAAATTTTTTTTTTTTTGTTAAACTATAAATTTTTAGATTTTTGATGGATTTTATTTTTGTTATTTTAAAAAAATTAATGTTTTTTTTTGTTTAAATTCAGAATTGTAAAGTTATAAATAAAATTGTTTGAAAGGAAAAAATATTGTAAGAAATTTTAATGCAATAAATCTTACTATTAAGTGTAACAAAATATTGATAAAAACCATTTTCTAATGTATCACTCAAAATATGAATAGCATAATATCCGGTTGATTGTATATAATGTATTCGAACAGTTGAATGAACAGTTTGTAATGCAAAATATCCGGAATTATTTGGGCTTAACATTTCATGTATATAATTATTTCCAATAAATATACCATCCATTTCAATATCATTTACAGCATGTTCATCCATGAATATCTGAAAATTCCAATTAATTAACCCGAATAATTGATATCAAAAAAAATCCATGTTTAGAATTATTTTTTAATTAATTAATTAACTCAAATAATTGATAATAAAATAAGGATTGTCGCAAATGGTAACATTTTGCATATTGAATGCTTGGAATATCGGATATATGTATCTGATCAATCGATATGTTAATTCAATTATTCATATTATGATATTGTTTTGATATTGCAATTAGGTCATGTTATGGTCATGTTTAAATTATTAGCATAATAGGAAAGATAAAATTTAACTTAGCAATTTGGGAATTATAATAATAATCGTAATAAAAATTACGGTAATAATTGAAATTTTATTAAATATAATTTTTTTGTCGAACATAAAAAGCAAAAATAATCCAATTGAAAAAGAATATTAATTAAATTTATCTTTTATATGACAAACAAATATTTCCACTTACTAAGACCCAATTTTGATAATGATGAGCAACGAAATGACTTCTTCCCGTAACATACTGTAGAGTAGATGGAATGAAATCGATATAATTACCCTCTAAATTGGATAATCCAAAAGTATAAATTTGAATATGATCATTCCTGAATTACTTTATATTACGATACATAATATTTGAATGTCACGAAAATATGCAAATAACATTTATATATTAACAAATATTTGCTAGACAAATATTAATTGTCAAACAAATAAATTGAAATAAATAATTGATCATGATAAGCAGAGCAAGAAATGCCACAGATCAAATGATAAACCAAATGATAGACAGATCAAATAATCAAATGATAATAAATGATAAAATGATAAATTAACAATACAAATGATAAATTAATAATACGAACTAATTAATAATAAAAAATTATTACCTGCAACGAATTGTTAAAAAATCGGAAAAATTTTTAGCAGATAGCTGAAAATAATGTTGCATAGTTGCTGGTTCAAATCTCAACCGTTTTTGTTCATTATTGGTTAA